GGGGCGAATCTGTCTTAAGGACAGAGTGTCACACACTCGACTTGGTCTTTGAATTATTTATTCGGTTCTACAAAATAAATATTGTAAGTTTTATTTTAATTTTGTTTGGATTATTTCAGTTTATTTTATTTACACAGAAGATTGTTCCAAAGTATATGTCCACTAACTCTGTGTAATCCTCCTCGTACAGTTCTGGTGCCATATACTCGGGCGTCCCTATTAACGAATGAGCATGATGGCTCCTCCCTACTATTGTTGCCAAGCCCAGATCACCAATCTTGACCTACAGATAAGATGTCATTTAGTTCCTGACATTATAAAATAAGTTAAAATGAACAGCACTAGCCTCAACTGGAAAATTGTGTCCTAGTATCAGTTCACTTCCCATTTGTTTTAATACCAATTAGTTCTGGGAAGCATCTTGCTATTGCAAATAAATTTCTGCAAACTCCAATTAGTTGTCCTGAAGGGGTGGGAAATAAAACTAAAACCATGGAAACACACACACACACACATATATATATATTCAAAGGGTGGCCTTATTCCCACTGCCCTTTTCACCAAAGACGCCTCATCTCATATTTTGTAACTTTTGCACAAAAGACAAAATTGTCCTTAGCAGATGAAAGAAAAGAAGTGTAAAGGTTTGGAGGAGGGGCAGTTTAGGTAGTTAACAAAAGTGTAAAGGGTTTTATTGTCATTTGCCTAATAAAAACAAAAAAGGAGTGCCATTGTCTAGCTGGTTAAAAGGGCAGATATTTCCTAAATTTTGTTAGCAATCGGAGGTTTGATAAGATGAAAAGGGCATGTACATACCTTTCCGATGTTTCCGTTGATGAAAATGTTACTGCAATTAAGATCTCTATGAATGACGCAAGGATCATGGGTATGGAGATAATCCAAGCCCTTAAGTATCTGTCTTGACCACTTCTTCATGGCCTTCATTGACACATGGCGATGCTTCTTCCTGTAATCTCTCAGATTCCCTGAAGTGCATGCTTCAGTAATGAAATTCAATGTGTTGCGCTCATTGTCCTTCCAAAAACTGTAGAGAACAATAATGTAATCATTCTTCAACGACTTCAGCAATGCAATCTCCGACTGAAGCCTCTTGATGACAGAAGGATCATCACTGAACTTCCCTAACCGAACCTGATTCCATGCAACATCTCTTCCTTCACGCTGATCAAATCCCCTATAAACCTTCTTGACGGCACCAGCACCAAGCAGATCGCTGTACCGGCCAAACCGTCCAGATGGATCAACTTCAACAAATGGTTCTTTGTCTTGATCGGATGAATCAGGAGTTTGAGGTGACATCTCTGAATGTCATTCAGAAAAAAAATAGGAGCAAACAAAAGCCACCAGACAAAACACATTAAAGGAAAAGAAATACAATTTCTGATGATCTACCACAATCTCAAATCAGATCGTAATTAAAGAATAATAATCCCAGGTTGAATTGGTAATCACATGAAATTTGAAATTAGGGCTTGAATTAACAAATATTCAATTTATATATGCAAATTCCACAAAGAGGCATATTTTTAAAGCTGAAATAACCGATAAGTTGATCAAATCAGCAGAATCATTGCTCAAACTAAAGTTTAGTAGTGGTTCATAGAGTCCTATGGATTGAGTAAAAATAAACTCCAAGAAATAATACCAACACAAAGCAATGTTTTTCAGTGGCATTGCTGCAGATTTAAGCTAATCAAACAGACTACAGCTGTGTTATTATTCTTCTCTATCAAATCCATAACACAAAAATCAAACCCATTTGGGACATGAAGAATTTCATAATTTCATAGAAATCAAACACTTCAACCAATGAGCCCTTAACCGAAATCAATACAAAAATTAACTAAAAAAGCTTATAAACCCTAGATTAAGTGTGAGAAATGGGGAAATAGGGGAAGGGAGAGGGAAAAAGAGAGAGAGAGAGAGAGAGAGAGAGAGAGAGAGAGAGAGAACCCGAGAGAGGGCTTGAGAGAGAGAGAGAGAGAGAGAGAGAGAGAGAGAGAGCAAACAAAGAAAGAGTGAGAGATGTGAGGCAGAGAGATCGTCTCTCTCAGTGTGAGTGAGGGAGACAGGTGAGTGGGTGAGTGAGGAGAGTGTGAGCTCCTCCTCTATTGTAATCTTTTTGCAATCTCTCCATTGTTATAGTGATAATCGGTTCCTCTCCCGTGGACGTAGGCATTGAGGCCGAACCATGTTAAATATGGTGTCTTCTTGAGTGTTGGTGTGTTTTTCTGCTTGGTACAATTTCTACAAGGTCTTGGGCAGGATCCCCGATCTCGAATAGGTGGTATCAGAGCCTCGTCGGTCGTTTTCGGAACAAAAACAATTTGTTGTTCAAAACTGCCCAGAAATCAAGTTGCTCAAAATTAGGTTTTGAGCATACCAGGAGCAAGGTCTTGACGAGAGGAGTCAAAAAATGCAAAGTAGAGCCCCAGAGGACACCAGACGTGCCTTCACGCGCCACCTGAAGATGGTGCATGAGTCCTAGTCTCCGCACGTGCCACCACGCGTTGTGTACTCAGCCGGCGCCTTCTGCCTATTCGCCTGCACGCGCCACACGGGCGACAAAGGAGGAAGACGATACATGTGGCACCACATCATTGACACGTGGCACTACGTCAACCTAGGACGGCTATGTGTCTGCCATGTCTGCAGACCAATCATCGCCACGTGGCAGCCCAGTCAGCGTTGCGTCATCTGCCACGTCAGCATATGAAGGAGCGATCCAGTGGTTCACGGCTGAGGTGCAGCCGCAAGAGAAAGGATCTAGTGCTTCGCGGCTAAGGTGTAGCCACAGATCTGAGGCGTCCAAAATGTTTGGGCTTGATCTAAGCGATTTGGAGTCCGTTTCTGACGATCCAATAGCGTTTTCCAACTATTTGGATCATTCCGGACACATACGTACGGTCGGATTTTGGAATCAGAATTTCTATAAAAAGAAAGAAGATCAAAGTGGCAGACGGCATTAGGTGTAGTGGACGGAATATTCTGTTGGAACACGGAATATAATCTGAACTTCTAAAAATTGCAATTTGGCCCAGAATTTTTATAAAATTGTGGTGTGGCCTAACTTTCGGGGATATTTTTCAGTGAGGTCCCCGGAGGTGCAGCGAAGGTTGGTCCTAGCTAAACGGACCGTTTCGGACACAACCGCGAGGTCAGAATAGTGAAATTCTGAACGGTTTTTTAAAGATTGTCAAAACATGGGAGTTTGTCATCCTCAATAGTCGAAGGTAGGTTGCCGGATATTGCGGATTCCCTGAAGAGGTTAGAATGGGCAGATTCTGACCAGATTGAATAACCAACCAGATACAAATCGAGATCAATTGTTGGAGACCAAAGGAGATCAGGCTTGATCAAATGGCGGATCGAGGGAGATCAGGATTGGTTAGGGGCGATTAAAGGATTGCAGAGATAATTATCTCCGGAGTTGATCGGATCGGAAGATCTGGTTCAATCAAAAAGTCCATTCATCGACGGAAAGATGATTTGGAAACAAGTACAGGATCAAGGAAATGCTGTGGCTATTGGAGCTACTGTATATAAGTAGGTACTGATGGTATGTGAACGTGTAGAACAATAGTTGCAGAGAAGCATACTAAACGCAGAAGCACAAATGCAGACGTGCAATAGTGCAAGGGTACACTGTAGTGTCGTACAGAGGCGCAAGAAGAGTGTGTAGCAGTGGGTTGTTGACAGTTCACAGGAACTTCCAGATAGAGAAACTGAGACAGGTAAAACACAAGAGTGCGCCAAGGAGTGGCAAGTCTTTTTTTCTCTATGGTGGTTTCTTTAGTTCCATGGCAACGGAGGATAGAGTTGATGTGGATCTCTCAAGCGAGCTTGACGCAGGGAGACCAGAAGCCATGGATGCGAGCACTATGCAAGAAATTGCATAGTTGACGATGCTTTGACAGATGGAGCTATTGTCAACCATCAATCTGCTGGACAACAAATCAGGGATTGGAAAAGTACAAACAACGAGCGTATGTGGAAACGCTAGGAGGTTGTTCAGAAGTGTAGAGGGCAAAGGCTGATAGTTCAAAGGAAAAGCTCCGAGCAAAGAAGACAGAGGACGTTGATGGGATAAACAACGAGTTTTCTATTGCTCTAATGACTGGTCCTGCAAGGTAATGCATGACAGTCAAGGGCATCCCAGTAGGGGGTGCAGGACATCCAATCAGGGGGTACAAGATATCTTTGTTACGCAAGTTCAAGGATAACAAGTGAAGACATTCGAGACGTGAAGCGTGGACAAGATCTGTGGGAGATAGGAGCAGAGGCTCTCTTCAAATTAGAGAGTGGTGTGAGTTGAGTTGAGGATGTAGTATTCCCTCCTCCTCTTGTATTTCTGGTGTATTATCTCTATCTTCAGGGGATGTAAACGTCTCAGTGAGGAGATGCAGACTATGTTGAAATTTGGGCGTGACAAGATTAGCAACAGTATGTGCAGTAGACCACCTCACACGGGTTGAGGGGGTGATTTGTAGGATATCAACCCATTACAAGCACCAACCCACCTTGAAGGTGGTTCTCCCACTCCATCTACCCCACTAGCTAGTAGATTGAGCTAGTGGAAGGGGTAGGTGGTGACCAATGAGGCACTCCCTCAATTGTGTATAAATTGAGATGAGGAGGAGGGCTTCAGAGAGAGAGAGAGAGAGCAAACAAAGAAAGAGTAAGAGATGTGAGGCAGAGAGACCATCTCTCATGGTGTGAGCGAGGGAGACGGGTGAGTGGGTGAGTGAGGAGAGTGTGAGCTCCTCCTTTATTGTAATCTTTTTGTAATATCTCCATTGTTATAGTGATAACCGGTTCCTCTCCCGTGGACGTAGGCATTGAGGCCGAACCACGTTAAATATGATGTCTCCTTGAGTATGGGTATGTTTTTCTGCTTGTTATAATTTCTACAAGGTCTTGGGCGGGATCCCCGATGCCCAACAGTTTTCTCACTCAAGCTGTAAATTTCCCTTTGAAAAAATAGAACAACTTCATCAAATGACAAAAAATAATTATATAACTATTTCAATATCTACATATTTGATCTGCCAAACATGCTATTGTAATATTGTTTACCATATGGGGTTATGATCCACCTGTTCGCCAATTGACCACCAGTCCCAAATTGACATTTAAACAAAGTTCATAATTCTATTAACAAATATTGTCTTGAGGGTTTAGGATAATTTTTTGTTTTTGTTCTAATGCCAGATGTTTTATGCCATTGTTTTTACAAGTTTAAATAATTATACTCACTACAAGAAATTGCACTTTTGGCAACTACTTTTGGCGACGACGTCAATTTTTCATCGCTAAAAGTATATTTTTGGCGACACAGTGATCAATTTCGTTGGTAAAAGTATACCTTTACCGACGCAATTTGTTGTCGTCGCTAAAAAGGCATAACATTATTTTAGCGCCAATTTTTTTGGTTGGCGCCAAAATTTCAAAACTTTTATCTACGAGGCTTATGTTTTAGCAACACAATGAGCGTTGCTATTAGTGTGCTTACTTTTGGCGACGACAAGTTGGCGTAGGTAAAGAGTTAACCATTTAGCGACGATGACACTATTCGTCGGTAAAAGTTTTGCTAGTGGAATGATGTGATTTAGTGATTTGTGTTTTTTATTATAATTTTTGAAAGAGTTTTAAATATTTTAGTTACTGAATTGTAAAATTAAAATAATCATTGAATTAGATCACAAATGAACCCATTAAGCCAAAACATCACTCTTAAGTCAGAATGACTCTAATTTGGATAATTAACTTTTTAGAAGACATGGCTAATTCAATCATTCTAAATGTTTGGTTTTATTTTCAGAAACTAGTTTCAATCTTTCTTCCCCTAAACAAATCTAAAAAATAATATTGTGGTAAATAAAAATTCTTATATATTTTTGTAATATTTTTATCATTTTACTGTCATTAAACACTTTTTTAAAATTTAAAAATATAATTTTGCACTTCTTTATTTCTTCAAATTTATTTTTAATTTTGATATCAAAAAATGCAAATCTAAAAAGATTGGTTTTGAAATTGATTATTATCATTACTCATTTTATATTTGGTCTGATCTGATTATCGCGCAATGGCAAGTTGTTCCTCGTTAAAATTCTCCTCCTTTTTTTTTCTCTCATACAAATCTTCCCCTCATCCATCCCGATTTACACTCTTTCACTACCAAAAAATAGTTAAAGATCACAATCTTCTTGACAATTGACAATAATATCTTCATTTTAGTGAAGTGTGATAAAAAAAATTAGATGGATATTTTAATCACACTTAAAAATTTGGTGAGTCGTGATGAAATATTAATAACATGTTTTTGGAAATAAAGTATGATTTATGAAATCTTATTTTATAATCTACTTTTTAAATAAGTGGATTTCTTTTGAATCAGATTAGTATTTATAGCTCGTATTGTATGTATTTTTAATTATTAATATATAAAAGATTTCCTTCTTTCTGATTCATAAAAACTTCAACTGGCTTTGATTCTTTTTATTTAATTTTTTACTTCCGTAGTACAGCAACCCACACATACACAACACACAATGAAATTCATTTTTGTTTTAGATTCCATAAACCTATCTCTACTCACTCCTCTCTCCAAACCCTACCCTACATCCTTTGATCGCGCGACTACGAGCA